GATTGGAGGGAGACTCATTAACAACCTGCAATATGCAGATGACACAACCTTGCTTGCTGAAAGGAAAGCGGACTTGAAGCACTTATTGATGAAGATTAAAGACTACAGCCTTCAGTATGGATTACACCTCAACATAAAGAAAACAAAAATCCTCAAAACTGGACCATTAAGCAACCTCATGATAAACAGAGAAAATATTGAAATTTTCAACTGTTTCCTTTTTCTTAGATCCACAATCAATGCCCATGGAAGCAGCAGTTAAGAAATCAGATGATGTATTATTGCATTGGGCAAATCTGCTGCGAAAGACCTCTTTAAAGTGTCAAAAAGCAAAGATGTCACTTTGAGCACTAAGGTACACCTGACCCAAGCCATGGTATTTTCAACCACTTCATATGCATGAGGAAGCTGGACGATGAATAAGGAAGACTGAAGAAGAATTGACACCTTTGAATTACAGTGTTGGCAAAGAATATTGAATGCACCATGGATTGCCAGAAGAATGAACAACTCTGTCTTGGAAGAAATTAATCCCGAGTGCTCCTTGGAAGCAAGGATGGCAAGACTTCATCTCACGTACTTTGGACATGTTATCAGGAGGAACCAGTCCCTGGAGAAGGACACCATGCTTGGTAAAGTAGAGCGTCAGCGAAAAACAGGAAGAACCTCTACGAGATGGATTGACACAGTGCCTGCAACAGTGGACTCAAACATAGCAACAATTGGGAGGATGATGCAGGACTGGATAGTGTTTTTTTCTGTTGTACATAGGGTCACCATGAGTCAGAACCCACTCAACGGTACCTAACAACAACAACATTTCTATTTTTTCCTTAAATTGCCTAAGATGAGCATAAATTACTTTTGCAATAAAAATAGTTTGTTTTTATTTGAAAACTGGAGAGGCTGTCCAGGTGTTTGTCAAATGGAAGAAACTAGGCTGAGAAGGGAGAACCAAGCACAAAGCCTTCAGGATGGGACCCTAGGAGATGGGCAAGGAGGGTGAGAAGCAAGGCCTAGAAAACAGGGGACATTATGAGACTCTGCCATCTCAGGCATGGCCAGGAGGGAGCAGCTGAAGGTGCAGAGTCTTGTCACTGACTCCAGCCCAGGGTCTGGAACCCCGCCTTCTGCAGACAACTTACCAGTCTTTAGATCCTCAGTGGCCTAGACTCAAAAAAAAAAAAAAAAGTAGTAGTCCTCTGCTCCCATCTCTAATCAGCTGGCTGCCAGCCTTGCCCCATCTTCACTGGCTATCGGCCTGTCAGTGTTCAAATCGTTCTGCTATTTTGTGGTTCTGTGTGTTGAGGATAAGGAGAGCCTAGGTCTTTTAAATCCATGGTTCCAGAGCCATCCCCCACGCCTTTAACTGGAGATTCTGCTGATACTCCACCGCCTGTCTGCCTGTTTATCATACTGTGGCGGCTTGCATGTTGTTATGATACTGGAAGCTATGCCACCAGTAGTTCAAATACCAGCAGGGTCACCTCTGGTGGACAGCTTTCAGCAGAGCTTCCAGACTGAGACAGATTAGGAAGAAAGGCCTGGCAACTTACTTCCAAAATTAGCCAATGAAAATCCTATGGATCACAACCAGATATAGTGCTGGAAGATGAGCCCCTAGAAAGGCACTCAAAATACACAGTGACTGCAGCAATAGACTGAACCATACCAACAATCATGAACAGATGGTGTAGGACTGGGTAACATTCTGTTCTGTTGTACGTGGGCTTGTCATGAGTCAGTCAACTCGACAGCAACTACTGATACTAATTAATAGTAGAAGTACCTTGTTTGTGTATCAGCGCTTCTATCTCTCACCTGGGTCAGATCTGTAGCGAATTAAGGGGAGAGAACAGGAATGTTAGTGGCCCCAGGCATTCCTGACTCACAAAATGGATGACCAGCCCTGGAATGAGTCTGTGCTGGCTATATTTTCAGTAATTCTGGTCAGAAATCATGAAGAGGAAGCTCCTTCCTCTCTTCCTTGCCCTCCTCCAGGTTGCAAAGTGGTTGCTATTTTAGCAGAGATTAAAGGGCTTCCGCGTCCCTGGCTTGCGTGGAGGCTCTGGCTCTGGAGGTCCATGGCGCCTCTGTAAGAGGGACGAACAATCCCAGGTAAGGAAGGGGATGAGACATCGCTGCTGCCCAGATGTTTGTGCAATTAGCAGTAATGATGGGGCCAGAACTGCTATTGAGGCCAGGCCGCTCATGGGGTTCCTTTCAAAATGGATGGTTTGGAAAGTTCTCTGAGGGTGACAGAAGCTCTTTAGAAGGACCATTGGCTCTGTAGGTCTTCTTGCTTCTGATCTCGTTGAGGACATCCTGTCAGCAATGGAAGAGGCCAGGAGTGCTGGGTTCTAGGACACATCATTTGAGTCAACAAGTGGCTTCAAATGCAGTTGTGAGTGAAGCAGCCCATCAACATCCCCTCCATTCCCCGATGTTCCAATATCTTGACTTAGTCTAACTGGATGTATCATGCCGGAGATCTGGATTCCCCATAATATCTAAACTATAAGCAGTGCGTATGATGTGCCAGGCGCTGTTTTAAGCACATGGCATGTATTAACTCCTGAAGCTCACACAGTCCTTCAAGGTATGACTGTGATTAATCCCACTTGAAATATGTGACAACTGAAGGACTGAGAGATTAAAAGAATGTGCCCACGATCTAGTAAGTGCAGGAGCTGGAATTCTGAGCCAAGGCGGCAGCTGAAGAATGCTCACTCCTAATCACTGCACTGCGCTGTCTTGTGCTTTTTGGTGGGGATGTCACTCGTGTTTCCTCAGACTCACAAGACTGGGGGAAAAAATGAATAAGTCAAATCCTTGTGAAATGCTTAATGTAGGGTAGGTGCTAGAGGGATACAGAAAAAAAAATATTCTTACATTCAAGGAATTTAGACAGTTTTATCTAAGAAGATAAGGTAAATGTTTGAAAAGTAAATTCACAATACAAGGGTCGAACCAAGTGTTATGGAGATTCCGAGAAGGGAGAAAGTCCTTCAGTCAATCGTGGACTTTCCAGAGGACCTGGTCTTGAAGAATGGACGAGATTTAGACATGTGGTTAGAAACGAGAAGGTTATTCTGGATAGAGAGACTGGAGGGAAAACGCTCCCAGAGCTGGGAAAGCCTGAGAAATGTTTGGGTGATTGTGCAGTTACCAGTTTAGCTCATGTGAGAACACGGAGCCTCAGGAACAAATGGAGGGAGAGTAGTTCCAAACTAGGTTGCGCAATGGCTAAACATTTGGCTGCTACCAGCAAAGTGGGCAGTTCGAACCCGCCCAGCGTTTCCTCGAAGAAAGCTGGTGATCTGCTTCCATAAAATTACAGCTTGGGAAACCCTATGGGGCAGTTCTGCTCAGTCATATGGAGTTGCCATGAGTCAGAATCAACTTGACAGCACCCAACAACAACAATGACAGTTCCAAGCTAAAGACTGTGAACTCCAGTGTTTAAATACTGGAGAGTTAGCAATAAATACCATTAATTGAAAACTGGAAATCTAGGTGATTTAAGATCTTTTTTATTTTTTTCAGTCACAGTTTCTGCATGTTCACCCTGCACAGACCTGTGAGGTTGTCTGATTTTCAAATAGGACAGAGAGGAGAGGTTTTGCAAGGAGAGAATCAAATGAACAGTGAATTGAAAGAGAGGAGGATTGTGAAGGGTCCCTAACATCTCAGTCGTCTTCTCATTGACCATGGTGGTTAGCAAGTCCAAACCTCTTCTTCCTCTGCTAAATAAGCACATGTTCAATGATAATGATATACAGACAGCAAGTGGCCAGGATTATATTTCTGAAGGTAAGAAAGTCGTTCTTATTTTTCCATGATGAAATATTCAGTAACTAGAGCCGTGTTTGGCACTTCCAAGCATATTTATTGATTCATTCACCCAAACACGAAGCATCTGCCTTGTACCCGGCTCTGTGCCAAGTACCATGGAAGGAGACGGTGACAGAGAAGGCCCTGGCAAAAACTTCAAGGAATTTGCTGGAGTCCAGTGAGGCGAGAGAAATCAGCAGCTGGTTGTAATATGATTTGACAAGTGTCATGACGAAGAAGGTGACCATCTATCCCACTTGCCTGGGAGGGACCTAATTTGGATAATAAATTATATGACTTACCCAATTATGGGAAATAAGGTTAATACGGGAAGGGAAGGAGCACATAAGAGGGGCTTTGAAGGTGGTATTTGGGTGGGGTCGTGGAGGGCTTTATGGAGGATATGTGTCTCGGCTAATACTTGCAGGATGAATAGAGTAGGGACGGCAGGGAGGGCAGGAAGAAAAGCAGTGGTGCAGAAGGTGGGAGGGTGGCATTCCAAGCAGTGTTTGCTGATTAAATGAATGAATTAATGAGCAAATAAAACATCGTGAAAGAGCAAACTCACAGAACATTTCAACTTCTTGCGAAGCATCTATAATTACTCGATGTTTATGCATTGCATTTCTTCCTGGTCTTGGAAGAAACATTTTATAAAAAGTAGAATTTTACCCTTTTTAAAATAAGATGATTGAACTAGATGACATCTGTGTTCCCTTGTAGCTTTAACACTGTTCTGCCTAAGACTCCATCCTGAGCAACCTGCAGCTGGAAAGTAAGGCAAGATCCTCAAATCCCACCTGGTTCCTGCAGGCAACAAAGATGTCCTCTCTCTCTCCAGTTAGTCACTTAACTATTTTACAGTTTTTTTATTCCAGTTAATTTTATTTCTTCAATTTTATGGAAAGCTTCCTGAGGGCAGAGGTCGGATCATACTTTGGCGTCTCCCCTTCTATACGCGTTGGCTCGTGGCGATTGGGAAACTGGTGAAGGGGGGATAGAGAAGCCAGGTTTTGTCTTCTTTTTTGTATAATTATCCCTATCACCAAATGACTCTTTTTTATTCAGCTTTCCAAGGCCTCTTAATACTATGACTATAGATTTTTTTGTTCCTGGTAAGTTTTTGAACTTATTTTTGATGGGCGTCTTGTTTTCTTCTCCTTTAGGGCCCTCCGAGTTATTGGATATGGCAGACAGCGAAACGTGAGTGTTGCCATTCATTACATAGTCTTGACTGTTTTCTTCAGTGTATACCTAGGAGAAGAATAAAGTCTACAGAGTCTGTAATAGGTGACTTTAACAACAGGGATTAAGAGTCCATGTTCTACTGTGGGGCTGTGCAGGGCTAATCTTATCAGTCCACATTTGCATAATGAAAGGTGATGATAGATGTCACAATGATTAAGGCACAGTCATTACTGTTGATTACTTAGAGCTTCCCACAGGCCAGGCACTTCTGCCCTGGAGCCTCTTGGAGGCCTGAAAAGTCTAAATAAATACATTTACCTCTTGATTGACCCATCACATTTCCTCTTTCTCAGCTGGGGTTCTGTGAGAGAAGGACTCTCTGATGCCCTAAGGCATCTAGAAAGGAACATGTTATGTGCCACCTCGGGAGAACTGAGAAGACAGTCACTGCAGTCACTTCCTGTGTTCTGTGTTTCAGATGGGGACCAGAGGGGTGGGCGTGGCTAAGTACCTAGGAAGGAGAAGCAGGAATGAATACAGTGGAGGACAGTGGGAAGGGGTAGAGCTTTGAGGAACCAGATGTGAAGAAACTGTCCTTTGCCGCTTACAGCTGGTCCCCCTACCAGCATATCCTATTGGCACGTTTGTAGAGGGGGCCATCTCTGACCTCAGCTTGCCTTTCCTAAGGACTGCATTCAATGTTGCATGTGACCTTTGGAGTCATTTCACACTGGAACTCGGAAGAGACACACCCTCTTCCCTGTACATCCTAGGCGGTGTGGGTGGTTCCCTGGGTGGGGCCTCTTTCCCCAGCCTCCTTCCCACCTGGGTAATGGGATCTCTGAAGCCGACCCATGGTCCCCAGGGTGAGTGTCTTGTCCTGGACTCTCCCCGAGGCTCTGCGCCTCCTCCGTATCCTCCGTGGCTGCCCTTCCCCCACCTTCCACTGATGGGACTCCAGGCGGACAGAGCGGGTGTTGGCCTGGGTCTGTGAAGTGGCGCATCCAGGGCTAGCCCTCCAAGGCCGGGCACAGATCTGTAACATGCGGCAGTCTAGCGGTTGTTCTCCACCCCCGTTCACCATGGGCTTCATCTAAGGCCCCTCAGGCTCTGCCCAGACAAACAGTCACGCAGAGTAGCTCCACCACAAAAAAAAAACCAAACCCATTGCTGTTTAGTCAATTCTGACCCATAGTCAACCCCATAGGACAGAATAGAACTGCCTCCCATAGAGTTTCCAACGAACGCCTGGTGGGTCCAAACTGCTGACCTTTTGGTTAGCAGCTATAGCACTTAACCACTACGCCACCAGAGTTACTCCACAGCCAGCCTATTTAATAGTGTAATCAAGCATTACCTAAACCAAACATTAGTCGTTCACAGAATCACTAGGCCCAATAAGCAGCACTGCTTAGAAAAGAGGCTGGAATCAGATATCATAGTTAAAGCTCCCTTGGGGGCGAAAACGGTTTACACTCGGCTGGTAACCAAAATGTTGGGGATTCGAACCTACCCGGGAGCACCAAGGAGTAAAGGCCTGGCAATCAGTTTCTGTAAAGATTACAGTCAAGAAAACCCTATAGAGCAGTTCTACTCTGTAACACAGGGGATCTCCGAAGTCACAAATTAACAACAAACAGAAAATCGACAACAGATGTCATAGTTAGGTGATAGCTAGCCCGAGGTTCTTCTAGAACCCTCTTCCCCTCCCTAGAATGTAGTTGTGGCCAGAGTCTGGGGCAGACAGGGAAAGGGGTGGCAGAGCCAGCAGCACAGCTCCGGCAGGATGCAGCCCCTCCCCCTCCCTGCCCCCGCTCCCCTCCCCTGCATAGCCCGTTCCCATTCTGTCTTTGATTTAGGGGGGAGACTGCCCTGCACAAGGCTGCCTGCCAGCGGAACCGGGCCGTGTGCCAGCTCCTGGTGGATGCGGGAGCATCCCTGAGAAAGACCGACTCCAAGGTAACTGACGCGCGAGCGCAAGCATCCTTCCCTGGGCACCCTCGCTGGCTCCGTTGCCTTCGCTCGTGTTGGTGGCAATGGCGTCCTTTCTGTGCTTATGGAAGTGCCTGGGGCTTTGGAAAAAGGAGGAAAAAATAAAGTGCTTCATTTAGAGAAACTGTGGTTTAAATGTATAATCACAAAGGGAGGGAGGGTGTGTGCTCGCCTCTGGGGCTTTGTAAACTCCGAACATGCCGCCCTCGGGACTTTCCAGCTCTCCCCTGCTGAAAGGAGCCCCTCAGTGCTGCAAATGGTTAACACACTCACTGGGCTGCTAACCCAAAGGTTGGAGGTTCAAGTCCACCCAGAGGTGCCTCAGAAGAAAGGCCTGGTGATCTACTTCCAAAAAATCAGCCATTGAAAACCAGTGCAGCACCGTTGTACTCTGACACACATGGGGGCGCCGTGAGTCGGGATTGACTTGATGCAAGTGATCTACGGGTCCGCGCAGAAGGCCAGCAGACACGTTGTGGGGCGGAGAAACCCAGCACTAGAAGAGAGGTCAGGGCCATGTTCAAAGACACTGGCCTGGTTACCAAGAAGCTCCTTTGGGACTCCCCATCAACTACTTAATCCGGTATAGTTTAAACTCTGCTACTTGTGGGGCCCCATATTTGGGTGCCGAAGGATTCACTGGTTGTTTCCCAAGGTCGTGGGCCCTGGCCTTGAGATGGTTACAGTCTTACATCCCAGGTGTTTATGTTTGTTTGGTTTTTAAAGAATTTCTTTCCATATTTTTCTATTTTTTCCCCCAAATTAACCCCAGAATTTGAGCAAGGTGGGAATTACTATCCTGATTTATTGATGCAGGTACTGAAACCTACAGGAAGTTAAACATGCCCCAATCTCAGTTCAACTTTGTAACTCCAGTCCAGGATAGTGTGAGCAGGTCAGTTCTCATCTGGTGGCAAACCACCACCCTGCTCCAGCAGGATGAACTGTGGCCACGGAGGAATAAGGTTGGGTTTCACTTGTGGTTTATATGATCTGTTGTATTGCCTCATGGTGATACCTGTTGCAGTGTGGCTTGGAACCTGGTTGGTTTCTCTGCAGCAAAAATGGTGTAAATCTGCATTCAAAGTGTGTTATTGGCTTAATAAGATGGCAGTGGGGCCAGAAATGGTGGGGGGTGGGGCATATGTGTGAACCTTAAGCAAGGAGAGCCAACAGGTAAAGGTGAGGCATCCAAAGGACATCTGTTTAGGGGGGCTAAGATCAGGCTGCAGGATGAGATGTTCCCATTTACAGGAGACACCCATGAAAAAAGGGAGTAAAGGAGGAGCATAGCTTAGTAGAGTTGACCTAGGACTGCAGCCCACAAGAGACAGAGAGAGACAGAGAGAGAGTTTAACAGAACATCAGCCCCGCTGAGGGTCTTGGATAAGCTCTGAGCATTACAAAGCATGCTGGGCAGACTCCAAAAGAAGGCAAACCACTTAACCGCAGAGGGTCGCAGAGAAGAGTTTAATATATAGCTGAGGACTTCATTAAGCAGGTGGTGATTAATCTAAGTTTGGAACCTAGACAAACGACTTAAAAGCCTAATTAACGACTTAAGCTCCATTAGATAATTTAAGGGATGAGGATCTGCCTCTAGGCAGCTTTTGTCCTGGGATTGTCCCACACTGCAGTGCACTTTGTGAAACATTATCCCTGTGGACCCCTCGTTCCCTTCTGAGCCAGCTCCATGTGAATTCTCCATTCCCTTGCAACCCACGAGCACCCAACGCTCTGACTGAGGTCCCTGGCTGCCTCAGTCTCTCCTTCTGCCTACCAAACACACTTAATCTGGGTCCTGGTTACTAGGAGGTCTGTTAGGTGACTGGCTAGCTAATTGGGTATACTATTTCAAGTGGCTTCCCTGGGTAGTACAAACAGCTAACGCGTTCGGCTTCTAAGCGAAAGATTGGAAGTCTGAGTCCACCTAGAGATGCCTCAAAAGAAAGACCCAGAGATCTACTTCCGAAAAATCAGCCATTGAAAACCCTAGGGAGCACAGTTCTACTCTGACACACATGAGGTCACCATAAGTCTGAATCAACTCAAAGACAACTGGATTTCAAGCGACAAATAATTGCTCAATGTAATAATCTCACCAGATGATGTTTGCACTCAATGTTTAACCTGTTTGAGAAATAAACATCTTAGGCAGGATGAGTGGAGGCCATGTTGTGGGGTGGGATTGGCCTGTCTGGGGTCATTCAGACCCTAGTAGGACAACTGCCTATTTGCCAGACAAAAGACTGGTCTTACACTCACCTCAGATGATGACAAGAAACGGAAGGAGCAGCATGAAATAGAGGGACAAACAGAAGACTGGTGATGGGGACTCCTGGCTCCAGAGCCAGCTGTGTCCCTGAGCAGTTCTCCAGGGCACGCTTCGTGTGTTTCTAATTTTCTGCATCAGATAAATGGACTCAGTGTTCTTTGAGATTTCTTCCTATTTTGTGTTGTGTTGTGTGTTTTTACAAAATGCAAATAACTTTATTATTTTTTATGATTATCAACCTAGCGCATTCTCACATAGAAAACTCTAGCAATGCAGAAAAATGCAAAATAAGTAAAAATCACTGCAAACCCCACATTCCAGACATAAGTACGTTAACATTTTAATGTTCTCTCTTCACCTGTGGTGTGTCTGTTTTTCTTTGTCTGTGTCTCATTAGGTAGGTGAAGTCATTCTATATATGCTATTGTATAACCTAACTTTCCACTCAGCATTATGTTCTAGAAATCTTTCCATGTTAACGAATATAGCTGTGCATCATTATTTTTAGGGATCGTTTAGTTTCACCATTTTGTAATTTGGTAACAGGTTAAATCAGAATATGAACATTAGGACTGGATCTTCTGGAATAATCTAGAAGAGGCAGTATCCTACAAATTTCTTTTGATTGTGGCTAGCTCCTTAAAAAATACCAACGCAAAGGCCCACCCCAGTCCACCCCTTTAAATATTTGGGGGCTAGGAATTCAAACTTCATTATTATTGAAGTAAAAGCAAGACAGTCTTCAAAGATTGTAAATAAGTTAAATAAAAATTATTATAAGAAAGTTAATGTAGTGGTTAAATGTTAAATTCTAACTAAACAAGTAAAATTTGAGTAAAAGAGCCCAGAGCCATTGTTTCTTCCCTTTTATTTCTATTCCACCTGCTCCGTAGGTTACCTGGAGCAGGTTTCATTGAGATCAACAGAATCCACTGAGTTAGCATAGATGGGAGCTGAGAATTCTTTGATAATTTTTGTAAAATTCGTTTGCATTTGTACTTGGAACTATTTCCTTAGTATAATGATCACGCCTCTACGGTTTCCTTTTGACTTAATACCACTTTTTCAATAGATAACACTACAACACTGAGTACAAATCACAAAGAAGGGTCAAACAATGTTAATTAGTATCTGCAAGTATTCAAAAGAATGGAGACTGTCCCTCCTGTTAACGCTAGCTTCTTTTCAATGGCTTCATTTAAAAAATATCAACTGTGTATACAAATGTGTATATATACACTACCACTCATCTGTCAAAAATATTAACTGTATATACAAATGTGTATATATATACCACCACTCATCTGGAGGACTGGGGTGGGCCTTTGAGTTGGTTTTTTTTAAGGAACTGGCCACTATCAAAAGAAATTCACAGGATACTCATCTGTCAGTTTGTCCTACTGTGGTGGCTTTTGTGTTGCTGTCATGCTGGAAGCTATGCCACCAGTATTTCAAGTACCAGCAGGATCACCCATGGTGGACAAGTTTCAACAGAGCTTCCAGACTAAGACAGACTAGGAGGAAGGACTTGGCCAATCTACTTCTGAAAAAACTGGCCAGTGAAAACCATATAAATAGCAGCAGAGCATTGTCTGTTAAATTGCTGGAAGATGAGCCCCTTAGGTTGGAAGGCACTTAAAATAAGACTGGGAAGAGCTGCCTCCTCAAAGTAGAGTAGACCTTAATATCGTGAATGGAGCACAGTTTCTAGGATCTTCATTTGCTGATGAGGCATGACTCAGAATGTGAAGAAACAGCAGCAAACATCCGTTAATAATTGGAACGTGGAATATACGAAGTATAATCTAGGAAAATAGGAAGTCGTCAAAAATGAAATGGAATGCATAAAGATAGATATCCCAGGCATCAGTGAGCTGAAATGGATTGGTATTGGCTATTTTGAATTGGACAATCATATGGTCTACTATCCTGGGAATGACAAAGAGAAATGGCATCACATTCATGGTCAGAAAGAACATTTCAAGATCTATCCGAAAGTACAACACTGTCAGTGATAGTATAATATCCATACTCCTACAAGGAAGACCAGTTAATACGACTATTATTCAAATTTATGCACCTACCACTAAGGCCAAAGATGAAGAAATTGAAGATTTTTACCAACTTCTGCAGTCTGAAATTTATCAAACATGCAATCAGGATGCATTGATAATTACTGGTGATTGGAATGCCACAGTTGCAAACAGAGAAAAGGGATCAGTAGTTGGAAAATACGGCCTTGGTGATAGAAATGACACCATACAGCGCATGATAGAATTTTCTAAGACCAATGACTTATTCATTGAAAATACCTTTCTTCGGTAACGTGAATGGTGACTATGCACATGGACCTCACTAGATGGAATACGTAGGAATCAAATCGACTACATCTGTGGAAAGAGATGATGAAAAAGCTCAGTATCATCAGTCAGAACAAGGCCAGGGGTCGCTGTGGAACAGACCATCAATTGCTCGTATGCAAGTTCAAGTTGAAGTTTAAGAAAATTGGAGCAAGTGCATGAGAGCCAAAGTACAACCTTGAGTATATCCCACCTGAATTTGCAGATCATCTCAAGAATAGATTTGACACACTGAACACTAATGACCGAAGACCAGACAAGTTGTGAAATGACACCAAAGACATCATCTATGAAGAAAGCAAAAGGTCATTAAAAAGACAGGAAAGAAAGAAAAGACCAAAATGGATGTCAGAAGAGACTCTGAAAGTTGCTCTTGAACACAGAGTAGTTAAAGCGAATGGAAGAAATGATGAAGTAAAAGAGCCGAACAGAAGATTTCAAAGGGCAGCTTGAGAACACAAAGTATCATAATGAAATGTGCAAAGACCTGGAGTTAGAAAACCAAAAGGGAAGAACTTGCTCGACATTTCTCAAGCTGAAAGAACTGAAGAAAAAGTCAAGCCTCGAGTTACACTATTGAAGGATTCTACGGGGAAAATATTAAACAGCACAGGAAGCATCAAGAGAAGAGGGAAGGAATACACAGAGTCCCTGTACCAAAAGAACTGGTTGATGTTCATTCATTTCAGGAGGTAACCTGATCAGGAACTGATGGTACTGAAGGAAGACGCTGCACTGAAGACACTGGTGAAAAACAAGGCTCCAGGAATTGATGGAGGACCAATTGAGATGTTTCAACAACGGATGCTATGTTGGAGGTGCTCACATGTCTATGCCAGAAATTTGGAAGACGGCTAGCTGGCCAACCGACTGGAAGAGATTCATATTTGTGCCCATTCCAAAGAAAGGTGATCCAAAAGAATGTGGAAATTATCGAACAATATCATTAATATCACATGCAAGTAAAATTTTACTGAAGATCATTCAAAAATGGATGCAGCAGTACATCAACAAGGAACTGCCAGAAATTCAAGTCGAATTCAGAAGAGAAGGTTGAACGAGGGATATCATGGATGATAACGGCTGGATCTTGGCTGAAAGAGAAGACCAGAAAGATGTTTACCTGTGTTTTATTGACTATGCAAAGGCATTCAGCTGTTGGATCATAACAAATTTTAGATAACATTGTGAAGAATGGGAATTCCAGAACACTTAATTGTGCTCTTGCAGAACCTGTACATAGACCAAGCAGCAATTAATGGAACAGAACAAGGGGATACTGCATAGTTTAAAATCAGGAAAGGTGTGCATCAGGGTTCTAGTCATTCACCATATTTATTTAATCTGTATGCTGAGCAGATAATCTGAGAAGCTGGACTATATGAGGAAGGATGGGCATCAGGATTGGACGAAGACTCATTAACAATCGGCTACATACAGATGACACAACTATGCTTGCTGAAAATGAAAACTTGAAGCACTTACTGATGAAGATCAAAGACTACATACAGCCTTCAGTATGGATTGCACCTCAACAAAAAGAAAACAAAAATCCTCACAACTGGATCAATAAGCAGCATCATGATAAATGGAGGAAACTTTGAAGTTGTCAAGGATTTCATTTTACTTGGATCCACAATCAACGCCCATGGAAGCCGCGATCAGAAATCAAACAATGTATTGCATTGGGCAAATCTGCTGCAAGAGACGTCTTTTAAGTGTTAAAAGGTAATGATGTCACTTTGAAGACTAAGGTGTGCCTGACCCGAGCCAAGGTAGTTTCAGTCGTCTCCTATGCAAGTGAAAGCTGGACAGTGAATAGAGAAGACCGAAGAAGAATTGATGCCTTTGAATTATGATGTTGGTGAAGAATTTTGAATATACCAAGGACCGCTAGTAAAATGAAGAAATCTGTCTCGGAGGAAGTATAGCCAGAATGCTCCCTAGAAAGGGGATGGCGAGACTTCGTTTTAAGTACTTTGGACATGTTATCAAGAGGGACTGGTCCTTAGAAAAGGACATCACGGTTGGTAAATTAGAGGGTGAGCGAAAAAGAGAGAGACCCTCAATGAGATGGATTGACACAGTGGCTGCAACAATGGGCTCAAGCATAACAATGATTGTGAGGATGGTGCAGGACCCAGCAGGGTTTCGTTCTGTTGTACGTGGGGTTGGAACTGACTTAATGACACCTAACGACAACACTACATGTATATACATATATATGTATATCTCCCAGTGTGGCGCAAATGGTTTGCTCTTGGCTACTAACTGAAAGGTTGGTGGTTTGAACCCACCAAAAGGTGCCACTGAAGAAAGGCCTGGTGATCTGCTTCTTACACATCTACAGCCAGGAAAACCCTATGGAGCTCAGTTATACTCTGTAACACATGAGGTTGCCGCAAGTCCAAACGGACTCGACAGCAGTGGTTTGGTTTAGATGCTGTTGTTGTTAGTTCCATTGAGTCAATTGCAGTGACCCAGTGTGTGCAGAGCGGAACTGCACGCCATAGCGTTTTCAAGGTTGGGACCTTTTGGAAGCAGATCACCAGGCCTTACTTTCAAGGAGCCTCTGGGTGGGTTCAAACTTCCAACCTTTTGGTTAGTAGTCCAGTGTTTAACCATTTGCACCATACAGGGACTCCTTTGTTTGGGGGATATATTTCTGTCTATCTGTCCATCTGTCTGTCTCTCTGTCTATCATCTATCTATAGAGAGAAGTGTAGATATATATACGTATGTTTATGTAAATGTATATATATACACACATGTATATACAAGCACATATATGTATGTACAAATTGTATATATAGCTTTATATATAACACTGAAAAATTGGTACTTTAGTATTCAACAGCAAAGTAAAGTAATAGACTGCCAGAAATTATATCATCATTTAAAATCATGATGTAGAAGAATATTCAATGATGTAAGAAATTTTATGACCTATTATGAAGGGAAAAAAGCAGATTTTATAATAGTATGTAAATAAAATAGAGTTTTATTTCTATAAAATAATTATATACGGAAGTATACAAAGAGACAAAATAGTTACTCAGTGGAAGGTTAACAGTGGTTATCTTAACTGAGCGGAATTATTGGTGATTTTTATGAAATCTTTGTACTTTTCAACTTTGCCAAGATTTTCTAAATTAACATTCATCACTTTTGTAGTCAAAAACACACTTTTTGGTGGGATGAGGTAGCCATAAATTGGGGAGATCTTAAGACCTTCAAACTTTCAAGAAAACCCTTATTTTATGCCTGTCCCTTCCTGTTAGTCTCTGCTCATTGCTTCCAAGTCTAGTAGAATAGGAAGAGTCTTAAACTAGAAATCCCAGTAACTGCTTCCCTGTTTTTTCTATTGAGTGATTTGTATCCCGCCTTTGTCCAAAAAAGGCTGTGTGTCCCAGAGCTCACTGTGTCCTTGTTTCCTCCTGTGGTCTCAGATAGACCTTGGAACCTCTGATTCCTTAGCTGTCAACCCCACCTGCCCAAAAGGTAGTCTCTTCTCTTTGACCTACCTATCTCACAGGTTTGATGTGATGATTATGGAAGACATTGGATTTGGAGATGCTTTGGAAGCTCCAAAACACTAAACAAGGAAAGATTCTTATTAGCAAGTAATCGTTGACTAACAATGTTTCTGTGATTCTTGTTTTTTTTTGAGGGGGGGGGGAGGGGAGTCTCACCCCAAGTATTTATGTCTTTCCTTTGCACTGTTACCTACAGGGTAAGACTCCTCAAGACAAAGCACAGCAGGCTGGGGACCTGGATTTGGCTGCTTACCTAGAAAGCCGTCAGAACTATAAGATCATTGGCCATGAGGACCTGGAGACCGCCGTTTGACCCTGGTAGATGGGCGGAGAACACCTGAGCGAGCATATCACCTACGCCCTCCCAGCCATCGGGCAACTCCCCGGGAAGAAGCTGATGGAATCCATCTATCTGTCTCTCTCCTGCAAGAATCTATCTGAGACCATGCCAGCAGTTTAAGGGCTACCAGAATGGACATCCGAACATGATAGCCCACTGAGAATGAGGCAGGCTACCTGGAGATGTGTGGACTATGACGTCCACAAAATTTGATCCTTACTGCTTCCAGCAAGTAGCATGAACTTCTGTGTTTACCTGTATAACTTATTTTAAAGATTCAAAGGATGTCCATGTTAATGGCACAGCTTGCTCCTCCCCCAATGCATCCATCTTTCCCCCATACCGCATAATTCTACTGTAACTACCTACCCATTTTAAGAATACGATATCTGTTCTCTTTCCATTCCATCTTTGAAGACCACAAGGTTGTCTGAAGGTCTTTTGAAACCCTTTGGATGTTCTGCAGAAACAGCAAAAACAGAACTATAAATCCACTTCCATTTCCAAGACCAAATACACCAAGAAGCCTCCTTAGAGACGATTTGCATGCCCCCCCCCCCCCCCTTTTTCATTATCGAGTTTTTTTTTTTTTT